GGGGGGGGGGGGGGGCATAATGTGTTGGTTTTTTATGGCGAAGTTAACCGGGAGGGGGGGTTCTCGGTATCATGCACGGCGGCAGTAAAGCGATTTTGCCCACACCGGCAAGTTTACAGTACAGTGGATGCACCTTCCGGCTATCTCTCGATTTACAGGCCTCGAGCTTCTTCTGGAGCGATAAAAGACAAAACAGGAGCAGCAGCAGCAGCAGCAGCAGCAGCAGCAGCAGCAGCAGCAACCACAACAACAACAAAAACACTACAGACTCCTAACCTTTCTCCTCAGCTGCTCCTTTCGTCGTCGATGCAGCTGCACGGCCAGCAGCGCCACCACCATCGTCACCCCATAGCCGACCGCGAATCCCGCCACTTTCCTGCCGACGGTCATCGCGACCTTTGTCCTGCTCGCTCCGCCGCTGTTGCCCCCCCCCTCGAGCCGACACACCAAGCGGGTTGCCGGCGCTCCTCTCTTCCTCCTCCTCCCCTGCTAGTCTCCAAAAACAGCGCCCGCCCTCCTGTGCCTGGGTACACCTGGCCAACAGGGCGGCGGCGCCAACTGACAGCCTGTTGCGGCCGAGCCCGAACGCCTGCCGCAAGCACCTTCCCGTTGCTTTGATTTCCTTCCGACCTCTCCCAACCCCTGCTGAACCAGCCGGCGCTTTAGCGCGCTCTCTCTTTAACGCACTCTCTCTCGTTCTTGCTTGTTTTGACACCGCTGCCAGTGATGAACTTATTCGGCTGGTCGGTCCTGAGTATATGGCCTGCAGAGGGCAACGGCACATGGGGGCACCGCGAACGGGGGCACGGGGGTACGCGCGCGTTTGTATACGGTGCTTCTGTTGATAGCATTGCTGTGCGGGTGCATGTGAGTCTCTCTTTGATACGTAGGCATTGGCGACGCTAACCGGCTTACCAACGAAAATGCGCCGGTCTTGCCATTGGGACAAACAAACGCGAGCACGACGTTGAGCGCGTGAATATGTCGTGTGGGGCATTTGTGGCAGTTCATGCGCACTTCATGTGCGTACGTGAAGGCCGAAATGAAGCTGAGGGAAAAAGGGATTTCGTGCTACTCGACAGCGTAGGAATATTGGACATGCTGCTGGGATCCCTGCTGAAAACCGGATACGAGCGGCTTGGGGGGTTGGGTAAGATAGGTCATGCTTCGCGCTATTGCCTCGAAGCGCACACCTGTGCAACGCTGTTGGCGACGAACACTCAGGTTTCGGTCAGGTTTCGGTCGACTCGAATTGCAGGGTCGGACGGACGCAACTCTTTTTTGGAGAGGTCCCGTAGACATGATGTGCCACGTTGTTCTACTAACACGCAAGCACGTATCAGGGCACTTGAACAGCTAATGTAAAATGCGGAGAGATGGCCCCGGTTGGGGAGATGGCAACTGGGTGCGCAAAAGAAGCCAAGAATGTCATGTTATTCGATCTCCCCACCAGGGTCGGTGAGATTGCACCGGGTGCGATCTCGCCGACCCCCAAATCCAAGATTGAGCTCTTGTTGAGCTGCTGGAAAGCGGCACATCGCATGGTTTTTAGATGTGGGGACGATGTCAATGGAGCGCCACTCCTTAAGGTATGACAAAAACGGTCGCGGTTCACGCGGGATGCTAGTTATTGTTATTTGCTCGGTACGGAATTTGCCAACCGTACAAACAACCAAGCGCCACACGATTTTCAATGTACTGCTGTTTGCGTACTGGTGTTAGCAGAGGAAGGCCGAAACGAAGGCGGGGAACAACCTGATGATACCGCGTGTACCGGTACCTCGGGAGGAAGTCACGTCGTTTGTTGTCCTTGTCTCGCCATCATAGTCAGACTCGCGTCCAAACGCATGACCATTCGCTGCATGGAAAGCTGCTACGCACCAGCCTACGGTGCCGTTACCGGTGTCCTCCCAGTCAGCACAATAGTACCTACACTGTACACGCCTGCTTGTAGATAAACTGGTACCACGTAACGAGGCGGAGAAATGGCATCTCTTGGGGAGATGGCACCGGGGTGCGTGCACACGACACGGCCGAGCACCAGTAAGGCCCGCTGTGTGTGCTTTTCTTGCGCATCGCCCGGGTCGGAGAAATCGCACCGAGGTGAAAAGCTCAACGAAACGATTCACTTGCATTTCCGCACCGGGGTCGGAGGGATGGCACGGGTCGGGGAGATCGCACTCGGGGTGCGAAACCAAAAAATGAGGAACATATTTGCAAAAACGATCGCACCCGGTGCCATATCTCCGCCTTTTACGGTACACCTCGCCCACGTGTTATTTCGTGCTCTCAATCCAGTTTGGCCTAAGGGTCGATTGTATTAAAGTAGCATTCAGGGAGGTTACGCATACATGTAGTATAAGTAGTAATATACTTCGAAGCGTTACATATTATAGCCCTATGCATAATATCACAGACTAGCGATTTTACACGGAGGCGTATAGGTCATATAACGCGAATGAAAACCAAGTAGACTGCAACAGACCGCCCCCCCTCTAATCCAGTTGTAGATTGCCTCCCATGAACCCCCTTGTTACCAGCTGCTTGTTACAAGCACCGGTGGGTCCCATAGTTCCGACGCTCTCGACTTCAAAGAACACTCATGAATGCAACCTTGTCGTGTCCGCGGACGTCTTGAGATTATTCCCAGAAAATCAGACGCAACATGTATACATACGCCAAGAACAACGAGGATAAAGAGAGTCAGAAAAAGACCTCTATTAATAGCATACCCCACGGTTAGCAACGTAGCCGTGCACCACACGTTTTCAGCAGCATCGTTTCTGAACCAATCGAGGATTTCCTCTCGGGAGTGTTGTGTAGATCTTCCAAAGCCCTCCTGATATATTGCAGCCGGCACGAAACGGCCATTGGTTACCATTGGTGTGAACTATCCGCGCCTTTGCCTACCGCCTGCAGGGCCATACGTGCGATAAGCAATGATGTCTTACGAGAGGAAACTGCGGCACATATTCCGCATGCTTCTTCCGATATCGCCGCCTCTCCTGCAGCACAGGTACTACTTGATTAGGGGCGGGATAGACAGGTGCGTTTGGACAGAGCGAACTGCACTCGTGCCATCCTCATAAGTAGATACCGCGATACAGCTGTGATGCAGGGGCCAATAGTACGCCAGCAGGGCACCTCTCAGCGGCTCAGTATGCATACATACGTAACGGACCCTCCCGGTGTAGGTACAACGTACATACATACGGCATGCGTGCATACGTTGCAGATGCTGGTGCTGCTGTCGAAGACCAACTCACACACCGCGAACAAGAAAATGGTCTATGCATACGTCTCACGTGTAGTGTGCTGTCGAAGGTGCAGGTGATGGGAACACTAGAGCTGGTACATGACGACAGCGGTCGATCTCAATGCCGACGAGGTGCGTACACATGTCCATTCGGTGACATCGAAGCACCACACGGAACCGAATCAACCAACGGACAACGTCGGAGATGGACACGACCACACCGAGCTTTGTCTGTTCTCCCGGCTGTCCAATATTTGGGCGTTCTCCGCCAACAGCGACACAGCGGAGGTTCTCTCGACGCCAAGCTCGTGGCTCGCTGTGGCTGCCGAAATGGAAGTTCGAGTCAAGTCCGCAACAACAGCTACGCTCGCTGTAACAAAAAGTGTCATCCCTTGCGGTACAGGTTCGCGGGTTCAAACACGTGTTCTACACTGGACATAACAAATCCAGATGCCCGCGCACCTTCCAAAGAACGGACGTGTTCGCGCTCGAGTCCGGTTTCCTGCCCTATTTAGCTGCCTCCGTAAAGGCAGCAGCAAACACCAAGGGAAGGCAGCAACCAGCGTTCCAGCATGCACACGGCTATGTCGATGTGGAGTCATTTGAGAGGCTCCGCGTTTTAACCCCCCCCCCCCATTCAACAGACCGGTTTCGCCGCGTTTTTTGGGACCCGATCGACAGCAACTGCTGCCGTAGTCTACACCATTGACACAGCTTTTCTCACCTATTGCAGCGGAGGTTGAGTGTAGGCAGCGCTAGGCTTCCGACCGGCTGGCCTAGAAACCGAGACCCCGAGATAACACGTATGTGCTCACAATGATGCTGTGCTGCGTTGTCTCTCGTGAAGGCAGATAAACGACTGCCGCTACGAGTGCTGCAGCGAGCGAGCGACACACGCAAGCTCGGTACATGTAGCTCGATACACCGATCGATTCCGCGATGTTGTGCTCTCTCGCCGGTACGACTCACAGCTGTGTAAGACAACGGCAACATCATCGACACATAGACAGAAGGTTGGGGTCACACAGGCCTGTGTGTATACAATGACAACGTGCGTGAGAGGCATCAACCGCACCACCATATACACTACTATATCTTGTCATGCAAACAGCGCAGGGAGACCACATACTGACGAGCACACACCCACAGGAGCTACAGCGGGCTGCCGCTGTTACTTGCCCTGGTGCGTGCGGAGATATCACAGCTTTTTCCTTCATGGTATATGAGTACAACAGCAGGCAATGGCGTGACTGTACTTACCGCAGCGGCTGCTGTACTGCCGACAGCGAGAAAACCGCCCGCAAAATCACTTCTATCTTTCTCGAAAACGTAGTCTATCTAAATAGCTTGTTGGACATGTACAGCAGTAGTGGACGTTTCTGATTGGATCAAGACGGAGGAAACGCAGCATTACCAGCGGCAGCAGCGGCGGGCGACGGCGGCAGCAGCAGTGCTGTTGTACGGCTGTGCTCTGATGTCCTCTATCCACGATGTTCCAGCAGCAGCAGCGTGCTGTGTGCGCCCATCACCCTGTGGATCCACTGGATCGACCGAAAAAAAGCCGCTCGCCGTCATGCAAGCACACGAACTCACCGTATCCGACTCACCTACGCATTTTCCGAGAGGTAGATATTCAATATTCACCTACCCCTCCTCCTCCTCCTCCTGCTCCTCATTCTCCCCATTATGGAGCCGCCTGGGTAGCAGCAGGATATAATTCAAAAACGAATAGTGGAGGTGGCGTTACGTTGCGTTTGGTCCGAACCGGTTCGGAGGGGAGAGAGGGGAGAAGAGGGGAGAGCGGGGGGCGAGAGAGAAACAGAAACAGCGAGACGGGCACAGACACACACAGGCACAGTGGCACCGAGACACCGAGAAGCAGCAGTAGCAGGAAGGAGGCAAGCGAGAGGGTAGCTAGTGAATCTGCAAGACACAAGACTGGGGGAGTGATCCACCACCACCTTCAGGACGGCTCCTGACTAGCGCCCGCCAAGCTCATCGGGCTACACTCCACCAGGACAGCAGGGAGCAAAGGTGGGTGGATGCGGCAAACGTGTGTGAGTATGGTTGAGGACAACGGATCGAGTCAAGTACGCGGCTACCCTTGACGGTGCCGCATCAGCGCCGCTGTGCACAGTTGTATAAGAAGGTTGGAGAGCACTCTGTCATCGGCCCCTGTCCGTGTACAGCAGCAGAGCAGTAGCCTACACACAGGCTTCCATGTGGGCCTTGTCTACGCCTTCCCCTTTCTCTCCGGAAGATCTCGCGTGTGTATGACAACTTTTCTCGTCTATGCCAGGACGAAATGTAAGCCTGGTTGATCCTCAAGGCATACTCTTGCTGCTTCCACATGGCTTGGCGTCACCCAGCTCTTCATGACTGCTTGGAAGAGGGGGCTGGAGTGCGTACCCGTCGGCTCCAACCTGCTGAGCTTTCTCCAGACTCTCTCAAACGTAGAGCGAGAGAAAATTGCCAGCGGGTGGTTGCTCAGGTATTGTAAACGATGCTGGAGAGATCATCGTTGAATACGAAAAAGTGATCCCACGTGCATGTGGTACACTGCTTTGCCAAATAACCGTAGGACTCGACAATTTGTTATAGCAATGCTACTACTGCTGTTGCATGGAGTTGTTCTTCAGTGCGGAATAGTCTAAGTCCTCGCATTGAGCAGACATACACTGTAGACACTGCTGCTATAGTCTGCTGGCGTGTGTTTGTCCGCCTCCTCTCAGTGCCCGCTCCTCCGGGGGCAGGATCGTCCAACACCAGAAACGATATGGTTCCGAGCGAAGGACTTCGAGTTTTGACCCAAATACATAGAGAATGATCGATATTTCGGGTGAGGTTTGGTGCCCATGCGTACGGAATTTTTATGTTGGACCATAAGAACTACTGTAAAAAAAAAACATTTATGTTTTAGAGGGGCAGAGCCGGGTAGATACCCGTCCTCCCACCAATCACATGTCGATAATAATGTACACTACGTGGGATAGAGACAGGTGATTGGTCGATGGCCACGCCACCGAGCGGGAATCCCCCGAAAGACGTAGCACAGCAGCAGCAGCAGCAGCAGCACATGATACACTCAGACACGAGACAACCAGCACAGCAGCACACGAGACTGCTGTGGACCAAGGGCAGTCAAGGGCACACACAATAGGAGGTCGGGTTCGACTGTCAGAGCCGATTGGCTGCTGTCGGCAGCACCACAAGGTCAAATCTGCTGCTGCTGCTACGTGCTGCTTTAATCTATCTGCAGGCCGATCTATTGAGCTTGCTATGCAGACGTATAAAACAGAGACTGTGAGACGTACAAACTGCTGCAGGCTAAGGGTGACCAAAGGAACACATCATACGAGACATCGAGAGCGATTTTTGAAGCCCGTTGCCTGCTGCAAGCAGCGTATAAGCGAGGGAAGCAAGTGCACAGAAGTCAATCTATCTGCGGCCATCTTCGTCGGTCTGTCTGCAGGCCGAACTTCTTTTGATCCACCGCAGACGATAACAGAGAGACAATGAGATGTAAATACACTGCTGCCGGCCAAGGCGACCAAGTACACACAAGGGGCGTCGGGGGCGAGCTTTATAGCCCGTTGCCGCTGCTACGTTCATACGCCTGCGTCCCTCTCTGCGCCCGTTCTTTTTCGCGTTTCGCGCCAAATCGTTTTATTATTTTTTGTTGGGCCCCTATGTATGGCACGCGAGCCTGTTGTATTCAGCTGTGTGCCCGAGATAGCGGAACTGATGAGGGCGGCCCAGGGGGGTAACGAGCGGTGCGGTGCGGCTCAATACGAGCCATTTAGCAGGCACTGTGTCCCTCGCTCCTCCTCTTTCTGATGTGTGTTACAGACGATTTAGGGGTGGTACCTTGCTTCCTCATGTGTAGACCCACCTGTGTCACGCCTTGACACCTCAAGGGCAATGCACTTGACGCATGGCAGCGGAACTGTTCTGCAATCGTGGCTGTGTTTATGTTTTCCGTGTTGGACTCGGCACGTTTATGCCTGCTTTCAAGCTGTTTATTCATTTTCGATCTTGCTGACGGATTCTACGCGTCTCTCTGATGTAGGAAGATGAGTGCCCACGCCAAAGCGTTTTGGTTGTTTCCCAAATGTGCTCCTGCGCGGTAATGTACAAGTGTGCGCGTCCGGCGCCTAGCTTCCTAGTACCAACTCTTTGTAGGCGCGCAGGAACGTCAGTCACCTTGGGCTTTACGTCAAACGAGAGTCGGTCACCCTTGGTTGTCGGGCCGAGCGAAAGCCAGTGATCTTTGGTTTTCGCGCCGAACGCAAGTCAACGACCTTCGGTTGTCGCCAACCGAAAGTCAGTGACCTTTGGTGTTCGCGCCAAACGGAAGTCAGTGACCTTTGATTTTCGCGCCAAACGAAAGTCAGCCACCTCTGCTTTTCGCGCCAAAGAAAAGCCAGTCACCTCTGCTTTTCGCGCATGACGAAAGTCAGTGACGTTTGATTTTCGAGCAAAATGAAAGTCAGTCACCTGTGAATTTCGCCCCAAATCAAAGTTAACAACGTCTGGATTTCGCGCCAGCCAAGCGAATGTGAGTGACCTCTGGCTTTCGCTCCAGCCAATCGAAAGTCAGTGACGATTGGTTTAGCGCCAAACGAAAGTCATTGCGTTTGCAATGTTTGCCCAACGAATGTCAGTGACCTTTGTTTCGCGCCAAACGAAAGTCAGTGACGCTTCGTTTTCTCGCCAACGAGAGTCAGTCACCTCTGGATTTCGCGCCGAACGAACGAAAGTATCCTCTGGATTTCGCACCGAACGAACGATGGTATCCTCTGGAGTTCGGGCCAGCCAAACCAAAGTCAAGCCAGTTACTTCTGGATTTTGTGCCAGCCAAACGATAGTCTGTGATATCAGGATTTCGCGACAGCCAAACGAACGTCAGAGCCGTTTGGACTTCGTGCGAAACGAAAGTCAGCGGCCTCTGGATTTCGTGCCAAGCGAAAGTCAGTGACGTTTGGTTTTTGCCCCAAACGAAGGCCCGTGACTTCTGGATTTCGCGCCAAACAAAAGTCAGTCACCTCTGGATTTCGCGCCAAACGAAAGTCAGTCCCCTTTCGATTGCGCGCCAGGAAAACGAAAGACAGTTGCTTCTGGATTCTCGGCCAAACCAACGTCAATTTCGTTTGGATTTCGCGCCAAAGGAAAGTCAGTCATCTTTCGATTTCGCACCAAACGAAAGTCAGTCACCTCTGGATTCGCGCCAAACGAAAGTCAGTCACCTCTGGATTTCGCGTCAAACGAAAGTCAGTGACCTATGCATTTCGCGCCAGCCAAACGAATGTGAGCGACGTCCGGATTTCGCGCCAGCCAAACAAAAGTCAGTGACCGCTGGATTCCGCGCCAAACTAACGCCCGTGACGTTTGGTTTTTGCGCCAAATCAAAGTCTGTGACCTCTGGATGTGGCGCCAAACCAATGTTTGTTTCGTCTGGATTTTGCGCCAAACGAACGTCAGTGACCTCTCGATGTCGCGCCAAACGAAGGTCAGTCACCTCTGGATTTCGGGTCAAACGGAAGTCAAGTCACGTCTGAATTCCGCGCTAA